AGAAAGGTGCTGGGATGAGACCGCGGGCTGGGAGCACAGGGGCTGGTGCCCTGCAGAGCAATGGCACCCACACCTCGGACAGCAAGCGTTTGTGTTCTCGCTGGACAGAAACCGTCTCACGATCAGAAGAATCTGCTTGTCACTGACCAGGTTCTGTACGCTGTCACCTACACTGACAGAGTGGAAAACTGTCAGAATGGATGGCAAATAGTAAGTGATACCCACCTAATGCAGACGACACTTAGGAGGCTGGAACAGGGAGCGTGAGTGTGAGGACCGGGTGCTGCTGTGTGAGTGCAGGCGGTGTTTCCTCAAGGACGGGTGCTCAGTGCAGCCTCAGCCTCGAGACTCAGCACATAAAGGGAGCCTGCTGGTTCGCGTGCTCTTTAGTTCCCTCCTCTTAGAGAGCAAAACCCGGGCTCCAGGTCAATGGGATTTGGACGCCACCAGCTGGAAGCGCTGTGTGGACTCTCCGTGTGGCCAGAGCTGGGACAGAAAAGGCTGATGATGCCTCAGGGTCCAATATCGGTTGTCAAATGGAGATAAGAGTATTTATCATGAATTTCCAAATGAGAATAAGTTAGAAAATATATGAAACTAGTGGCGCGGTGCATGAATTTGTGCACAGGTGGGGTCCCGGGGCCCCACCCTGATGGGGGCCCATTGGGCAGGGCCGGCCGTGGGGTCTAATCGGGAAGCTATAGCTTTCCCCCAGCTGAATGTAATTATTCTTTAGGGATGGCACAAAGACAACCCACAACAGAACAGTTTTGCATTTCTCGTGCCATGAGATGAAGTTGTTTATGTGTTGCTTGCAAACGTATATCGAGGTGAATGATGGCCCCTGAATGATTTTTGCGTTCTTCCCGGGGCTCTGCCCTCAGTTCCCAATATGATCTTCATGTCTGTTTGTTTAAAAGTTTTTCTGTTTGTGAATGTGCCTACCCTTCGCTGTTGTTCCTGGCAGCCTGAGCGACCTCTTCGCCACCGCTTTTAAAGAGAGAGTGAAAGCTCACCTAATCTGTAAGGCACTGCAATTTCACAAAATCTCCACCCAGCCTCTCTATATTCCTAGCAAAGGGCCGCCATCCCCTTAATGCTTAGGTTGCCCTTTTGGCTATTTTGGAAGGTCTCCTGGGCTGCAGGCGGGCCGTGGAGGGAGAATTCCAAGAATACCTTGGCTGCAGTATTAGCAGAGCCCTCTGGAGACTCTGGTTGGGGACAGAAGGGACTGATAATTATTTTCTTGTGCTTTCACTAAATTCACATGCACCAGGGAGCCAGGCAGTGATTTAGGCATGGAGGGTGGGGTTTAGGGGAAGGCCAGCTGGGGGGCGGTGCTGACTTGGTGAAGGGCCGGGGTTGTTCCGGTCGTTCTGCCATTCGGTCGCTGTACTTTTATTACATAGGATTATCACAGCAGAGTGTCTGAAATACAGTGGGGACTAAAACAACTTTGATCTCTTTTTGAAATATACAAGTGCAAATATGAACAAATACCATTTACTACTGCTGTTTACAATGGATAAGCTATGGACCAGCCAATAATAGGGACTTGGTCAACTAGATGATGTCCATTCATATCATGGAGCACAATGGCAGGGGATGACCATCACACCATTGATTAACATGAAAAGTATTCACAGTTCATTAAGGGAAAGAGCAAAATCACTGAATCCTCCAATCACATTGGTGAAGGGACAGACAGCAAAGCTGAATAGTGTGATCCCCTGGCCCTTCTTCCCTGTCTTGTGTCTTCTCTCTCCCTCCCTGGCCTCCCCTGCAGTTCCTGATACTCCTGTGTCTGATTCCAGGGGAGAACTCTGAGGCTGGATCTCCCACCGCTTTAGGGGTGGTGAAAAAGGAGCTCCTTGTGGAAGTGCTGGAGTACTGCTCATATAAGGTCAACAACTATTTGGACCACCTGTACAAACCACGGCCCATAAAGGAGATCATCAAGTTTGTGAACGGGTTGGTTGGTAAGAAGATGGGGCAGCCGGATAAGAAAATGAACTGTGAGCACTTTGTCACGGATCTGAGATATGGCAATGCCCTCAGCGGGCAGGTAAGGCCCTCTGTGGGAGGCTCCCTCTCCCTTCTGGGGATCTCCTTGGGGTGGAGGTGACAGGACTGTGCATCCAGAAGAAAAACTTTCCAGGAATGAGGCAAAATTATGCTCCCTGCTTCCTGCTGGCTGGGAGTTAGGATGTCTGAGATCAAATCTCAGAACTATTCCTGATCCATTCAGGGTCTTTGAACAGGTCACTTCCTCTCTGGCCTCAGTTTCCCCATGTGCAGAAGGAGGGGATGTTTGGAGGACCTCTGGGGCTCTGGCCACCTCTATTCCTTTAGGATCCTTTGCCTCTAAGACCCACCCTAAAGGCAGCTGCTGATGCCCTGTGTGCTGTCAGGGAAAGTCTGGGCCAACCCTGGACCATGACAGGTCTCCTAAGGCCCCAGAGAGCCCTCGAGCAAGAGATGCTCAAGGTCTGTGGCCGGGGAATGTTGGAGTCCGCAGCAAGCAAGCCTCCCTGCTCGCTTCAGTGCCTGGCTGCCGGCCGCCATCTTGGCTGACAGTTAATTTGCATATACTCACTGATTAGCCAATGAAAAGGGTAGCGGTCGTACACTAATTACCATGTTTCTCTTTTATTAGTGTAGATTATCACAGCAGAGTGTCTGAAATACAGTGGGGACTAAAACAACTTTGATCTCTTTTTGAAATATACAAGTGCAAATATGAACAAATACCATTTACTACTGCTGTTTACAATGGATAAGCTATGGACCAGCCAATAATAGGGACTTGGTCAACTAGATGATGTCCACTCATATCATGGAGCACAATGTCAGGGGATGACCATCACACCATTGATTAACATGAAAAGTATTCACAGCTCATTAAGGAAAAGAGCAAAATCACTGAATCCTCCAATCACATTGGTGAAGGGACAGACAGCAAAGCTGAATAGTGTGATCCCCTGGCCCTTCTTCCCTGTCTTGTGTCTTCTCTCTCCCTCCCTGGCCTCCCCTGCAGTTCCTGATACTCCTGTGTCTGATTCCAGGGGAGAACTCTGAGGCTGGATCTCCCACCGCTTTAGGGGTGGTGAAAAAGGAGCTCCTTGTGGAAGTGCTGGAGTACTGCTCATATAAGGTCAACAACTATTTGGACCACCTGTACAAACCACGGCCCATAAAGGAGATCATCAAGTTTGTGAACGGGTTGGTTGGTAAGAAGATGGGGCAGCCGGATAAGAAAATGAACTGTGAGCACTTTGTCACGGATCTGAGATATGGCAATGCCCTCAGCGGGCAGGTAAGGCCCTCTGTGGGAGGCTCCCTCTCCCTTCTGGGGATCTCCTTGGGGTGGAGGTGACAGGACTGTGCATCCAGAAGAAAAACTTTCCAGGAATGAGGCAAAATTATGCTCCCTGCTTCCTGCTGGCTGGGAGTTAGGATGTCTGAGATCAAATCTCAGAACTATTCCTGATCCATTCAGGGTCTTTGAACAGGTCACTTCCTCTCTGCCTCAGTTTCCCCATGTGCAGAAGGAGGGGATGTTTGGAGGACCTCTGGGGCTCTGGCCACCTCTATTCCTTTAGGATCCTTTGCCTCTAAGACCCACCCTAAAGGCAGCTGCTGATGCCCTGTGTGCTGTCAGGGAAAGTCTGGGCCAACCCTGGACCATGACAGGTCTCCTAAGGCCCCAGAGAGCCCTCGAGCAAGAGATGCTCAAGGTCTGTGGCCCATGTAAGAGCTCAAGAACATGTTATGTAAGATCTGGACACATCCTTACCCCTACCCGCTTTCCCCTCTTATTAAAACACAGCTAGTTAAGAGGCAGGAGCAGGATTCAATGCAAAGTGCTCCCTGCTCTTTCTGCTGAACCACAGCACCTCCAGGGCTCACAGCCCCTGTGACTGGGTGACGGGCAGCCTGGATGGAGGAGATGAGGGGAGCAGGAGCAGGTTTGGGAGGGAAATTAAGGATTTGATGCTCAGGTGGGGTGTTGAGGTGACCAGTTAGACATCCAGGTAGACCTGTTGAGTAGCAGTTGGACCTGCAAATCTGTTCAGGCTGAGGTGGGGGTGGAGATAGAAGTTTCCAGGCTGCACTTGGGAACAGTACACAGAGCACAGTGATCCCTGAGGCCATGCTTTCCCATTGTCTCCCCTCAGCTCTGCCACCACCTCCCTCTGCAGAGGGAGAGCCCAGGTAGAGTCCATATCACAGAGCCATTTCCACGTTCACCCTCAGAGCTCTGGCGCCAGGAGCCCAGGCACGAAACCCCTCCACTTTCCGCCCCATTATGACCAAATGGCCCACCATGGAGGTTCACTCTGGCCCTGGAGTGGGTGGGACAGAAGTCTGGGGGTTGGTCAGAAAGACGTGGGGTCACATAATTGGGAACAGGATGGCCCTGAATGAAGTCATCGGGGAAAGATGAACAAAGGTGGGAATTCCAGAGAAGCTTCCAGGCTAAATGACCACTGTTGGATGTTGGCATGGAATGAGGGCAAAGGGAAGCTGGCCTCTGGTCTCAGATTGGGCGGCCTGGGGTGAGCGCTGCAGGAGGTTAGCTGAGGTCAGACACAAACAGGAAGATAAACTGAAAAATTCTCAAATCAGAAAGCTGTGGTGCCCTGGGCAGGGACACTGAGGAGCAGGGAGGAGGTGATAAGGCAGGAGGGAGGGAGGAAAGGGGACCAGGAAGGGGCGGAGTAGTGAAGACCCAGTGCAGCCACTGCCGGCTGAGTGTCCCTGGGCAAGTCCCTCTCCCTCTCTGATCCTCAGTTTCCCCAGCTGAGCAAAGGGTGCTGCTTCCTTCCCCTGGGCTTGGGAGGGTGGCTGTTTGGGGGGAAAGTGCCAGCAGAGCCTGCTGCCTAAGTGTGTGAGCCCCACCTGCCCCCAACCTGACCAGTGCAGGAAGCTAGGCCAACTAGGCCCCCTGGAAGGCTTGGGGGCTGGTAGGTTGCTGTCATTTCCTGTCTCTCTGGTTGGCATCTCCAAGGGTGGGTGTCTCCGGGCTGGAGGAGGCCTGTGTTGCAGCCAAGCACAGCCAAGGTCAGAGGCGTGATGGAAACATGAGGGTAGTGTGTGAGGGCCGAGACGCTCAGACTCACCTGCCCCACGTTGTTGGGGATGGGCCTGGGGCCCCAGCCTCAGGGAAGGGGTTCTCCATGCAGCCTGTCATGTCATTACAATCAGGACACATGTGCATTCCACCTGCATATACACGTCTCTATCAACTGTGTGTGTGCATGTATGCACCACACACACACACACACACACACACACACACACACACACATCCTATGCCACCCAAACCGTGCTCCTTTCTCCATCCCAGAAGTTCGTTTTCCCGGCTTCTAGCTCCTGGTTCCCCTCAGAAAGACAAGGGATTCCCTGGGTGACAGATGATGAACAGCAGCCTGGGGTCCCCAGGCCTTGCTGCAGCTCCTGCCAGGGTCTCTGCTGTTGGCTGGCAGCCTGTCTACCATCTCTGGTTTTCCTCTTACAGTTGGTTGAAGATCCCAGGCCTGGAGACATAATTGAGATCTCTCACAGGCTCTACCGTGACTGGGCGCTCTGTGTGGGCGATGGTTATGTGATCCATCTGACTGCTCCAGGTAAGGCCTGTTGGAAGCAGGATTCGCCAAGGCTTTGTTAATAAGATAATGAGAGTAGTTGGAATGAAAGCCCAGCATGGGAACCTGAGTTGGGAGACACATTCTCCCTGCGCAGAGCTCACGCCGGGCATAGTCCAAACCCAGCCCCTGTGCCCACAGGGTCCACAGCCGCTGGGCTGCTTCAGCACCTGGACCCGCAGGCAGGGCTGGCTCCCTCTGTACCTGGGGCTCCGATGATGTGACTTAAAGCAGCAAAGTTCATCAGGAGCTCACAGTCCAGGTCTTACACAGGAAGCGCCCTCCGTGTTGTGGTTTTCGAAAGCGTGTGATTTCACAAACTCGGTGTCTTAGTATTTATAATAGACTAGAGGCCCGGTGCACGAAATTCATGCATGAGGGGTGGGGGGATTATGTGTCTCTCAGCCCAGTCTGCACTCTCTCCAATCTGGGACCCCTTGAGGGTAGTCGGACATCCCTCTCACAATCCACGACTGTTGGCTCCCAACCACTCGCCTGCCTGCCTGCCTGATTGCCCCTACCCACTTCTGCCTGCCAGCCTGATCACCCCCTAACCACTCCCCTGCCAGCCTGATCAATGCCTAACTGCTCCCCTGCCAGTCTGATTGCCCTAACTGCCCTCCCCTGCTGGCCTGGTCGCCCCCAACTGCCCTCCCCTGCAGTCCTGGTCCCCCACACGGCCCTCCCCTGCCAACCTGGTCACCCCAAACTGTCCTCCCCTGCTGGCCTGGTTGCCCCCAACTGTCCTCTACTACAGGCCTGGTCACCCCTAACTGCCCTACCCTGCCGGCCTGGTTGCCCTGAACTGTCCTCTCCTGCAGGCCTGATCACCCCTAACTGCCCTCCCCTGCCGGCCTGGTCCCTCCCAACTGCCCTCCCCAGCAGGCCTGGCCCCCCCAACTGCCCTACCCTGCAGAGCTAGTCGCCCCCAACTGCCCTCCTCTGCTGGCCTGGTCACACCTAACTGCCCTCCCCTGCAGGCCTGGTTCCCCCCAACTGCCCTCCCCTGCAGGCCTGATCACCCACAACTGCCCTCCCCTGCCGGCCAAGTTGTGGTGGCCATCTTGTGTCCACATGGAGGTGGCCATCTTGTGTGTTGGAGTGATGGTCAATTTGCATATTACCTCTTTATTAGATAAGATGCTGCTTAGCAGAAGCAGCTTTCAAAGTGCCCACCCAAAGGGAAAATTCTCATGAAAATGTATAGCAAGCACCTGGTAATAGTTCATCTACCTCATAAATAAGGCAGAAGCAGGACGATGACGAGCCGGTTAGCAGGAGAACGAACAGAACTGACGCATGGTCCATGAAGACCACCAAAGTGGCTGGAATAAGCCTGCTACATTAGATACAAACTGGCTCGTGTCCCACAGAGCAATTGACATAACCTTTGATGCTCTGTCTTCATCCGGGGAAAAATAATTGTCATCAATGTGGGAATGCTACTTTTGCATCTTATGTGTTTCCCACAAGTCATCATTTGTCCTGACGGTGTTGGAGGAACATAGGGATTTAGTATAAAAAGTTAATCAAGCTCATTTTACCCAGATGACACTTAGGGTCCTTGAAGGAGAGAGCATGACTGTGAGGACATGTGGTCCTTTTTATATCTGATCTCCCAGGTGTGGACAGGTTTTCTTAAGAGGATGGATTCCAAGTGCAACCTTCATCCTTGAGATTAGAAACAGATAGTAGTGTGCTTACTTAGTGTGCTCAATAGTTACTCTTCCTCTTAGAAAACACACCCAGGACTCACTATTAGATGGAATTGGGCCCCGCCAGTGTTGCTCAGTGGTTGAGCATCGATCAACCCATGAACCAGGCCGTCAGGGTTCGATTCCCCATCAGGGCTCATGCCTGGGTTGCAGGCTCAATCCCAGATAGGGGGTGTGCAGGAAGCAGCCACTTGATGATTCTCTCATCATTGATGTTTCTAACTCTCTCTCCCTCTCCCTTCCTCTCTCTGAAATCAATAAAGACATATTTTTTTAAAAAAAAAAAAAAAGAATGGAATTGGGAGTCCATCAGCTGAGAGCTCTTCTGTGGACTCTCCCTGTGCCCGGCACTGTGCCAGGTCATGGGACAGGAGACACGGATGTGCAGGGTTCTCTAGGCCTCAGCTCCGTGTGCGGGCAGGAGCCTGGCCTTCGGAGCTTGAGAGAGGAAGTGTCACATTGTGGTTCTAGGAGCTTTCGCAGCACAGCATTAACAGATGTGACTGTTAATGTCCCTCTGGGCCCAATATTGGTTGCCAAATGGAGATGATAATATTTTCCTTGAAGGGTACAATGAGAATTAAGTTAGACAATCTATGAAAATAGATCTGATTCTAAAGCGCACCAGGGTATGAAGATGCACAGGTATATCAGTATATTCCTAACAGAACTGCTTCTCATGGCTCAGCTTTCCATCAACCCAAATGCTCAGTAAAAGGCCATGGGTCACATTCACACAACACTATGACATTGTCTTGTGACCCAGCCATTGACAATCATGTCATTTACGACATGTGAAAATAATTCAGGACACCCTGCTCAGGAAAAGAACAGAATATGTGACTCTTCGCATCCTTCCTGGGAAAAGTTACCACGCAAATCGCCATAACTGGTAGGGTTTGTGCCTTTTGTCTCCTGCCATCTGTCTCCCTATCTCACCTGCCTGTGGTTCGCTCTGTGGTTCCAGGTGAATCGCGCAGTATTGGGCCCTTCAACATGCCTATGTTTCTGAGTGGCAGGGCTGAGGTCACAAAAGAGCCTCTGCAGAAGGCGGCTGCCGGCTGTTCCTACAAGGTCAACAACCACTTGGACCATAAGTACAGACCCCAGGCTGTGCATGAGATCATCACTTCTGCCACGGAGATGATTGGTAACCAGAAGACTTACTCAGTTCTTCGTGAAAATAGCGAACGTTTTGTCGCTGATCTGAGATATGGCTTGTCCCGCCGTGAGTTGGTAAGGCCCTTCAAGGGGTGACCCTTTACCCTCTGGAGTTCTTCCTAAGTGGGAAAATGGGTTGGATTTTGGGAAACCCACAGTGAAGCCTGCATGGTATTTGTTATATTAATACTACAGCATTAATTCTTACAGTAATACTACAGCATTAATTCTCATAATGACCCTACAGTATTAATTCTCACAGTAAATATGCAGCAGTCATTCTCACAGTTATACTGCAATATTGGATCTCACAGTAATGCTGCAGCATTGGTTCTCACAATAATGCTGCAGTATTAATTCTCACAGTAATGCTGCAGTATT